TGTGTGTGTGTGTGTGTGTGTGTGTGTGTGTGTGTGTGTGTGTGTGTGTGTGTTATAGAAATAGGCTGCATCATTGTTAGCCACATAGGTATGTTGTATGGGGAGTGGAGAACTTTTTCAATGCTTCAGAAATGTTTTCCACTACCACAGATGCCAACTAAGAGGTAATGGTTGATCTGCATTCATTCACCAAACATGTTAAGTGCCTGCTGTTTGCAAAGCATTGTGCTAAGGGGGAGGGGAAGAGTATATAAAGTCTAAATAAAGCATAGGTTCTGTCTAAGTGGATCTACCAAAGTGCTATATGGGGGCAGGGGTATGGGGTGGGGTAGAACTGGGATAAAACATACATTACGTGATAAATTCATTAGAGAATTTCAAAATAATAAAGGGGGTCAGGGAGGACTTCTTGGAGAAGGTTATGTTTGAAGTGGGCTCTAAAGGATGGGGTGGAAACTTAATATAAGAAAGGTTGAAGGGGTGGACCTCCAGACCTGGGGAATACTGTGTACATGAGGAAGAGGTGCAGGTTGAGTTAGGGGTTTGAAGGAGAACAGAGAGAATAGCTGAGTTTCCTTGATGCCTGAAGAGAAGTAAAATGAAGTTGTATGACATAGGCTTATGGGGGCCCATGGATGCCAGAAAGAGGAGTTTGACCCTGATTTGGTAGGCAGTAGAAAACCAATCAGGATGTTTGAGGAGTGGCATGATGAAATGTATGCAGACAAACATTAAGAGTTTTGGCAATATGAAGAATGGATTGAAGGGGGTGGAATTAGAAATGAAGCACCAAAAAATGAGAGTTTCTTTAATGAAGAGAATGAGAAAACTAATTAAAAACTGAACTTGTGGTGCAGTGGAGAAAACACTAGTGCTGGAGTTGAGGATCTAAATTCAAACCCTCTGTTATCTTGGGCAGATCATTTAATTTCCCTGGACCTCTGTTTCCTTCCTTATCAGTAAAATGAGGAACTTGGACTAGATAAGCTGCAGGGGCCTATCCTGATCTAGAGCTGTGATGTTAGGAACCTGCTCTGGGGCCTGGGGCCACTGCTTTGTTGGTCTTAGCAGTGAAGAGAGCTGGATCTCTCATGAGAAATGTGACAGTGATCGTACGGCACTTCCCTGCCAAAATGCGTTCCAAATTTGTTGGATGATAATCGACCGGTTCAGAATTCAAAAGGAATTGGAAGTAATTACCCATGGCATAACACTGGATTTGGAGTCAGATGATCTGGGATCTTGATGATCTCCAAGGTCCCTTCCAACTCCCAATCTGTGACCCTCTGATTAAGGGTATTGGCAAGGAGAACTTTGCTGTTGCAGCTACAAAAACATTAGCAGGAGTTTTTTTGTTTTTGTTTTTTAAACATTTTTGGTGCGTTGAGTTTCTTCTGAGATCAGTATAAGAAAATTTTGCATCCTGAAATAGGCATTGGACAATTATAAACTTATTATTTTAATTTTACTACAAGCTACATAAACTTGAAAAGTTAAACTGTCTTTTGTATTGTAGTTTAACTATCTTTTGTATTGTATTTTTGTGTTGGTGCACTTTGAAGTCATTAAGAATGAACCGGGTTGTAGAGATTCCAAGAGGTGTGTTATTTTTTTCTCTTGAAACTAAAGACTGTTGATTGGTAATATTAACAAATCAGAGTTTTACATCAGTTTAGTGGGATTAAAAGGGATAGAAAGGCTATAGTTGGCACTGTTGAAGAATTTGATATGTTTTGCACAATAGACTTGCCTTTATGGCATCTTTTCCTCTTTGCATGTTATGAAGGGTCCTTCAGACACATACTTGGTGCTATTCAACATCAATTCAACAAACATTAGGCCCTGTGTTCCAGGCATAGCGGTAACCTGGTACAGTGAATAGAATTCTGGGCTTTGAGTAAGGAAAACTTCAGTTCAATACCACCAGGATATTGTAGCCTAGTGACCTTGCAAAAGTTGCTTAACCTCAGACAATTCCCCAGGAACCCTGTCCATGACTTAATAGATGTCTGCCTTGATTGGAGTTTCCCGCTCTGAGCTGGTGAGTATTGTGCTAGGTACAGAAAAATGAAAAACCACACACATTCTGTGCCCTTGCCTTCAGGTGACTTATTATCCAATGTTGAATTAGGGAGACAGCCTGTGCTGGAGAGTGTTGGTCCCTGCCTTATAATGCTCCCTTTTTAAAAGGCACTATACATGTAATAGAAAGATTACTGGGCTATCAGATTGTTTGCCTTCTTGGGGAGGGGGGAAGGGAGAGATGGAGGGAGAAAAATTTACAACTCAAAATCTCATTAAAAATGGATGTTGAAAATTGGTTTTGCGTGTCATTGGAAAAAATAAAATACTATTTATGTAAAAAAAAAAAAAAAGAAAGAATACCCGGTTCTGGTTCTGTGAAATTTGCCATTGATAATAATTGAGTCACTCTTTGGACTTAGAATTGTAAAACAATAACATTTGATTAGATCAGGGATTCTTAACCTGGATTCCATGTACTTTTAAAATATAGATAGATAAATAGATAGATAACTGTATTTCTGCATAGTTGGTTTCCTTTGTAAATCCAGGTATTTTATTTTATGCATTTTAAAACATTCTGAGAAGGAGGCCATGGGTTTCACCAGACTGATGGCCCAAGACAGCGGTAGGGAACCTGTGGCCTCCAGGCCCCATGTGGCCCTTGGACTGAATGCAAACTTCACAAGTCGAGGCCACAGGTTCCCCACCCCTGGCCTAAGGGATTCATGACTCCAAAAAAGATTAAGAACCTCTGAACTAGATGATCAATAAGGCCCCTCCCTGGCTCCAAGATTCTAAGAAGCAGTGGTAGTCTAATGCTCCCTACAGAATCCTACAATCTAGGAGCCTTTAGGAGAAACCCCATGCTGTTATTTTTCAACTACTACTTCCATGGAGTCCTGAAGCATGGCTATCCCATACCTACCCCTCACCCCCCCCCCCCAAAAAAAACCAAATTGTCATTATATCTCATGAGAGAGGCCCAAAACTGTGGCAGGTTCCTAAACTGAACAGTGTGGACCTGAATCATTCCAGCCTTCTGAGTCTGGGATGGCCTTTTCCCCATGCTATAAGAGTTGAAGTGACCAGGATGTTTTTTTTTTTCCAGGTTAGGTCTGATACTGGCTTCTCAGCACTCAAATGGGCAGGCTGGGTTACCAGGTAACAGCTGTGAGCCTATTTCCAGCATCATGAAATTCTTTTCACAATTTCTAGTTTCACAGCAAGTTAAGACCTGCTGAATCAGATATGTTTGCTTCATCAACAGTCATTACCTGCATGAATGAGGTTTTCTAATGGCTGGGGCACCCTAGTCATAGGATTTCTAAACCTCAATTCAGAGTAGCTGCTAGTTTACATGTATCCAGAGCATCAGTGTGACTAGTTTAATCCTTTCCTAGTTATGAAAACTGGAGATTACTTACTACTTCAGAGATGCTGCAGGGGATAAAAAAGGCTGCCCAGTATCTGTGGCCTAAGAGCCATCTTCTAAAGCATGTAAACTCTAAGATAGAACTGAGATCTTTGCATCTTTTTTTTTTTACAAATTAGAGTCTGGGGTCAGCATCCTTCCAGCATGGATTGTTAAATGAAGCTGAGGGGGAAGGAAGCCTAAGTAAGAAGAGAGGGAAGGAAAGTAGAGGACTCATCAACTAGTCATTTTAAAAATTCAGTATGTTACATCTTTTAAAGCCACATCATTAAAACCATGTCAGTATAAATAAATAGCAGCAGGATAATGGTTGAACTTTAATAGGTGTCATCAAAATATTTATATTTATAATGGCTGAATTTTTTAATGATGTAGTTAGAATTAAATGACTATAAATGTAATTATTTTTCCATGATTGTAAAAAAAAAAAAAACAACTGTTGAGAAGATTGAGTTGTAAATCATTGGATCTACCCTCCTCATTTTGTAACTGAGAAAACTGATGCCCATAAAGGTAAAGTAACTTGCCCAAGGTCCCATAGGTAGTAAGTGACAGAGCTAAGATTTGAACTCAGGTTCTCGGACTCAAAATTCATCATTCTTTTCACTGCAACCCACTGCCAATCCTGTCCCCCCCCTTCCCTATTCCTAGCATTAGGAGTAGATCAGAGAGGAAACCAAGTTGGTTTCATGTTCTACATTTTAAAAGTTTTGAGTATATCTTGAACCTATGTGAATAAGCAGTGGCTTGGTTACTCAGTAAAATTAATTTGGAGGAATTGTAATATAAAACATATTGAATAAATGGGAAGATGACGATAGAGAACAATGCTGGGAGCTGAGAGGGGGAGTGTCTTAGTCATGGAACAGCCAGGAGGACAGTATCACTGGAGCAGAGAGTTTACGTCAGAGAGTAAGGTGTAAGAGGCTAGGTTATGAAGGACTTTGAACTCTATACAAAGGATTTGGTATTTGCTCTTGGAGGCAATAGGGGAGCCATTAAGAGTTTATTGAGGGGCAGCGAGGTGGCGTAGTGGATAGAGCACTGACCCTGAAGTCAGGAGGACCTGAGTTCAAATCCGGCCTCAGACCAAACACTTAACACTTACTGGCTGTATGACCCTGGGCAAGTCACTTAACCCCAGTTGCCTAAAAACAAACAAACAAAAAAGAGTTTACTGAGTAAGGGTTTGGGGTGATTTGGTTGGATCTATGCTTTAGAAAAATCACTTTGGTGGCTGAATAGAGGCCTACCTCAGGGTGGTGGCAGTATCAGCAGAGAAGGAGACTTACCGAAGAGATGAAATTGACAGGCTTTGGCAACAGATTGGATATGGGGGTAGGGGAGGGGGAGAGATAGTGAGGAGTGGAGGATGACACCTCGGTTTTGAGTGGAGGACTGGAAGGATGGTGTTCTACAGTAATAGGAAGGGAGAGGCTTAGGGGGAAAGATAATGAATTCAGTTTCAGACAGGTTGAGTTTAAGATGTCTATTTGACATCCAGTTCAAGATGTTCTGAAAGACTGTTGGAGATGCAGGATTGGAAGTCAGCTGAGAGGTTGGGCAAAATAGGTAGCTTTGAGAATCATCAGCATAGAGATGGTAATTAAATCCATGGCAGTTGTGAGATTACCAAATGAAACAATAGAGAAAGAGAGAAGAGAAGAGGACCTGGGACAGAATCCTGAGGGTGATCTGGGTGAGGATCTGACAAAGAGGCTGAGAAGCAGTGGTCAGATAGGTGGGAGGAGAACCAGGAGAGAGGGGTGTTCCAATAAACTAGAAAGAAGAAAGTATCACGGAGCGGGGAGCAATCAACAGTGTCACAAGCTGAAGAGAGGTCGAGGAGAATAAGGATTGAGATTGGATTTGGTGAATTAAGAAATCATTGGTAACTTGCAGTTTCAGAGGAATGATGAGGTTGGGAGACAAACTATAGAAAGCTAAGAAGTGAATGAGAGGAGGGAAAGTGGAGGTACCTATTATAGAATGCCTTTTTGAGGAGCTTAGCCACAAAGGGTAGAAAAGATAGTTTATCAGGGATGGAAGGATCAAGTAAGGATTTTTTGAGGATGAGGGAGAAATGGGTAAGTTTATAGGTAGTAGGGAAGGAGTCAGTAGAAAGGAAGAAATTGAAAATAAGTGATAGAGTGGGGATGATGGAAAGTTATCTGGTACAGCAGAGAGGATAGAATGGGATCACTTGAGCAGGTAGAGGGGTTAGCCTTGGTAAGGAGTAAGGGCACCTCTTAATTTTACTTTGTGAATATTACGTGAAAAATATACATACCAAAAAATAAAAATCATATATGCTGCCTGTCATCAATGGGACAGCTAGGTGGTGCAATGGATAGATTTCTCTTCAAATCTAGCTTCAGAAACTTACTAGGTGTGACACCCTGGACAAGTCATTTTACCCTGTTTGCCTCAGTTTCCTCATCTGTAAAATGAGCTGGAGAAGGAAATGGTAAACCAGTCCAGTATCTTTGCCAAGAAAACCCCAAATGGGGTCACAGAGAGTCAGACATGACTGAAAAATGACTGAACAACAACAAAAATCTATCATCAAAAACCTAGTATTTGAATTATTAGGAAACTCTTGAAGTGTTATGCAAATATCGAGGGGCTGTCATGTGAAAGAAAGATCAGACTTGTTGTGCTTGGCCTCAGAGATCAGGCCCAGGGTCAGTGGGTATTTCTTTTGATGAAGGTATGTCCTTCCAGAGCCACATTGTAATGATTGTACATTTGCCTCATTGCACTCAGATCTGTTGTTTGGCTTGCTTTGAATATTTATGTGCAGACATTTGAGGCCACGGTTTTTCTCTTGCTGGCGATTTTATTGGATTTTGTTTTCTGAATTGCTAGGCATCTCTATTGCTATTCCTCCCACATTGCAGCTACCCTTTATGGTATCTAGTTTGGTGTAGATCTGGAGGCATTTTTCTCCATCCCCCTTCCTTTTCAATTTAAAATTCTGCTAATTAGATTTGCAAGACTCTCGGCAAGTAGATTCTTACCATCCCTAAAATCTCCCTGGCCAGGAGCCCATTACCGCTATATTTTAAGCTGTGATTCAGAAATACAAATCCTTTTCTCAGATACCATCTTCTTAGCCAGCTGTTCATTTGGTTGAGAGATCACTCCTACCCTACCCTTCCATGTGGTGGTTGTTTTTTTTTTTAATCTCTTATCTCAAACCATCTCTAAAAAGTCAAGTCATCCCTGTAACAGCTTTAGTTATATTTCATTGCAGTCAACCTGATCACTTCTAGAAATTAACCCAGAAGCAAGTAACCACGTTATGTCATAAGGAACTTTCGTTTAAGGAGGAGCTTTGATTGGAACCTCGATTCTACAGGCAAAAAAACCACACACAGATGAAGGTACATAAATCCAAATGACTGTTGGCCCTTAAAGAAGTCCCTGATGCTGCCATTGCTCAAAACCTTTTTGAAAATCTTCTTTGAAAATAACCCTGAGCCTGGGTAGGAAACCATAGAGGAACCAAGTGACTTGACAGTCACTCCTTGAATGTTAAGCCTGAGCAGAGTATTTATACTTTTCTTAAATATGAGCATACTTGTGCTCTTGAAAAGTGAGTGCAGGGCTGGCAGGGTCAGAGAGATGAAGGAAGCATTTTAGAAGTATCTTAAAATTCCCTGAGTTAGGTTTCCTAGTCTGAGAGCTTGGCATTTTCATTTGCCCTAAGTGATCACAGGTAGAATAGCATTATATGGGACATTTGGACTTGGGAAATATTCATCAAATCAAATCAAAACCTTGAATTAAATTCCAGAATCAAATGTGCTCCAAAGGGTAATTCAGAGTATGTGCTCCTTAATCTGGGCCATTTGTTACTCAGTCTTGGCTATTTATGCTCAGAATATAAAATATGGGTAAAAACATTCCCTTTTGTTAATAATGTTAGTAATTATGTTTCCCAGTATTTAATTCAGTTACACAGATAGTCTTTTAATTTTGTCAGCTCTCATGTTCTAGGCATATTATGAACCACATTAATTTTGTTTTTATGGTATGGTTTAATACCGAGGTGTCATCCTCACTTAAAGTCTGCTGAACCAGATAAAAGTATCATTGGGAAAGGTTTAACAAAGTAAATAAAAATGCAATAACAGGGACAGCTAGGTGGCACAGTGGATAGAGCACCAGCCCTGAAGTCAGGAGGACCTGAATTCAAATACGACCTTAGACCAAACACTTGACACTTACTAGCTGTGTGACCCTGGGCAAGTCACTTAACCCCAATGGCCTTAAAAAATACAATAACAATACAGATAATATTAATTTTTGGTTTTCTAAATCAATATGTCTCTCACAGGGATCTATTTCTATTTGAGTTTGACACCAATGATTTTATATACTTCCTTATTAGTAATTATTAATAATAATTTCTTTTGCATCTGGAATTCAACCAACTGAAATTTCTATTCAAAGATTTTGTTTACTATTCACAAGGTTTTGCTCATGTCATGTCCTTCTAAATGATACAATTTGTCATTGAAACTGTATTATCAAGCTTAGAAAGTTCCTAAGAACTCTAGCATCTAGTATCTAGGGATGATGTATAAATTTATTGTTGTATGTAAATTGTCAGCACCTCAACGAGGAACAAAAAATATGAAGAAATATGAGAAAAAAATTGTAGGCAGAGATGTAGAATGAAGCAAGTAGATCCTAATCTATGCACCAACTCCAGGTAAGTGAAGGAAGGCAAGCTGGGATTGGGCCCCTCCTGCTTAGATTCAACACAGCAGACGGCAGCAGTGCCGCCTCTGGGTTTTTTTTTTGTTTGTTTTAGCCAATTGGGGTTAAGTGACTTGCCCAGGGTCAAACAGCTAGTAAATGTCAAGTGTTTGGTCTGAGGCCGGATTTGAACTCAGGTCCTCCTTCTTCAGGGCCGGTGCTCTATCCACTTCGCCACCTAGCTGTCCCACTGCCTGTGTTTTTAACAAAGGATCAATTACACACAAAAATAGGGACGGTATTAGGAACTGGACCTGGGATTTCACTGGTAGACAGAACTCCTAGGTAAAGGAACTTCTCTCCCAATGCTGGGCAGCACCTTCTCTGCCCCTAAGAGTTTTAGAGAATTTGCTGAAACACCGAAGAATTGGTGCCAGGACTTCCCCAGGGTCATACAGCCAGGATGTGTCATAGAGAGATGGGAAGCCCACCCAGCTTTTTTCTGGCATCAAGAAAGTCTGACCAGGGCAGAGCATGGCACAGAGGAATGCACATTGCAGATAGTAAGTATGCTGGTTTGTCTGTGTTTATCAACTGCATTAAAAAAAAATGTATTAGTTTACAAAATGCAAAGGGAAAAAGAAGCATTCATTGTATTTTTTTTTTTCCAATTCTGCTTGAGATAGTAGTTGGGGGTGAGAAGACTACTCTTCCCTGGAGGAGAAGAGGGAGAACAGGCACAAGGGCTTTTGCATTTTGACCAAGGCTCAGTTTGCTTCCCAAAAGGTATTACTGACTACTGGCTGTTTCTTCCTCTGGCTCTTCTTATTCTTTTCATTCTATTCACCTGTAAAGAGGAAGAGCTAGGAAGTAGAGCCCTGAGCAGAAGCTTTATAATACCAACACATTTATATAGCCCTGTAAGCTTTACAAATTGCTTTTTTCACATCAACTCAACAAGTAGGTTAATGCAAACATTAGCTCCATTTTACAGAATAGGAAGCTTGAAGCTTAGAAAGGTGAACAGGTTTGTCCCAAGTCACACAAATAGACAGCAGATGTCAGACCTAGGATTTGAACCCAAAACTCCTGACTTAAGCCCAGAGGTCAATACCACTATCATTTGGTGACTCTGGAGGATATAGTTTGTTTTTGTTTTTTTTTTTTTGAGGTGAAATTAAACCCGTTTTAGCAATTTCATTGGCAAACCTTAGGTTTAAAAATCATAGGAAATGTCCTAGCCTCCAACTGAATCTGATTCTGCAGGATTTTTTTATGCTTGGGGAAAATCACCATTATGATTATACATATAGGTCCAGGATTTAGTAAGACCTCTTTTTAGAATTAATGTATTGTATAATTTTTTTTCTTTTTCTTTTTGTTATTGTTTTTGTTGTGAAAAATTTAGATTATAAGTAATTAAAGTCAGGATGACTAAATGATACTCTAAGATTCATGTGGGGGATTTATTTATATTCTAATTATATCTCCCTTCAAATACCTCATTAAAATTTTGTATAAATATTTTCAAGACATCCATAGGAACATGTTTTAATTACCTCAAGTGAGTTGTGATTATTTTGGACATATGTGTTGAATGTTAGGCTGTGAACATGGCTTTTGACTATTTTTTCTTTTATAGACGTTTTAAGCAGAGTTTAATTGATGCCTTTTGTTTTTACATCCTAGTCATTTCTGAATATGCCCATCATCCCCTTCCACTCCCAGTGACTCTTCACTTTTAACAAAGAAAAGAAAGTTAAGCAAAACCAATCTTCACAGCCCTGGGTAGAGAATGTTTTTATGCTTCAAGGAACCTAAGTTTTCTTTTTCACAATGCCAATCATGCTTTGCCAAAGGGAATTCTTTTCAATTGTTCTCTCTCTCTCTCTCTCTCTTTTTTTTCTAGTAAATTCCTCATCTATGCTTGCCTGCTGCTGTTTTCCGTGCTGCTGGCCCTTCGGCTGGATGGCATTATTCAGTGGAGTTACTGGGCTGTCTTTGCTCCAATATGGCTGTGGAAACTAATGGTCATCGTTGGCGCCTCAGTTGGAACTGGAGTCTGGGCACGGAACCCCCAGTATCGGTAAGATTGCTTTATCAGAGAGAATGTATGATTAGATTCTGATAAGTTTAGCAGAGATAACTGCATGTCATAGATATGTAAATGATTTTAAAATTTAGTGAGAAACCCTTTTTTGTATATGTAAATAGAATGGTTGTTGGCAAGGTTGTGCTATAAAAGTATATTGTAATTTTATGTGAGTTCTTTTTTCTTTACATAAGGTACTGAGCTGCATTTTAAAAAATACGCTGATACAGAGCATGTGACTTGTAGAGGGGAAAAATGGGATAGTCATCTGAGCATAAACCTGGAGTGTTTTTTTTTCTATTTTTTTGAATCATAGAGTAATAGAATGTTGCGGCTGAAATGGATCTTAGACATCTTCTAGTTAAATCCTCCCATCTTGCAGGTGAGAAAACTGAGGCCTAGAGGGATGAAATGGCTGAGCTAGAATGGGGCTAGAACCCAGGCTTCTTGCCTCTCAGTCCAGTGTTGCTCCACTACACTGAACTGCCTCTGCATTTTCTTGTTTATTTTTTTTTATTAAAGTGAGAATAATTAATTCTACTTGCTATTTGACTTCTCTAAGGTTTTAGAAAAAAATACTTTCCAAGCAGTTCTCAATTCAAGAGTGAGCAGCATTTGTAAATTCCCCAGCTATTCCTTCTCTCCACCCCTTCTCTGGTACTTGCTCAGCTTTTCTAGAGAGAGTAGAGGCTTTTAAATTGTATTAGAATAGACTGTCATTTCCAGAGTTTCTTATTTACTGATAAACTCATTGTGGCACAGTGGAAAGAATGCTGGATTTAAAGTCAGAGAACTGGGTTCGAATCTCAACTCTGCCAACAACTGCTGCCACCTGTGTGACTCTGAGCAAGTCACTTAACCTCTCCAGGCCTCAGTTTCTCCCTCTAGCACTTGTGGTAGTTGGGCTTTTAAGGTCCTTCCAGCTCTAAAACTATGCTCCTAAGATATATAAAAGGGTATGAGGCTATGGTAATAATTCTGGAAAAGAAAGTTACACTTGAATTTAAAGTTGTATGCAAACATACCAATGGCAGCATTTTAGACTTGGTATAGTAATGCCATCTTTAATCTTCTGCGGCTGTTGCCAGCACAAGGTTCACTGGACAGGGAAGCATCTGGTGGTGTTTTGTTTACGAGTCTTCTTCCACTCTTCATTGGCAGAGGGAATTCCTCACCATGAAATCCCCACACCAATGAAATCACAGCCCTCGACCCCAAAAAAGTCAAAATAAAATAATGACGTTACAAGGTGGGACAGTCTGGTTTGGTTGTCTGAGCTGTCATTTGATTCCGTGTGGGGTGGTTCCTTTACATTTTTAAGATTCCATTTAAGAACCTAAGTTTCATTAAATCTTTCTTACTTTCCTTTACGTGAATACATGAGTACTGTTTTGCAAATAAGGCTCTCAGAGTTTTCTAAATTGCTCAGAACACATATTTCTAACAGAAATTTGAACTGAGATATTTGGTGTTTTCTTTTTTCTTCTCCTCATGACCACTTTTAGAGCAGAAGGAGAAACCTGTGTGGAGTTTAAAGCCATGTTAATTGCCGTGGGCATCCACCTGCTCCTGTTGATGTTTGAGGTTCTGGTCTGTGACAGGATTGAGAGGGGAAGCCACTTTTGGCTTCTGGTCTTCATGCCGCTGTTCTTTGTCTCCCCAGTATCTGTTGCAGCCTGTGTGTGGGGATTCCGACATGACAGGTCACTTGAGGTAAAATTTCATAAACTGAAAGTGGATGTTTTACGCAAAACCTTTGGTTACTTATTTTATCATGAATTTCTTTCCAGTCATTTTAATGTAGTTGAGTGTGTGTGTGTGCGTGTGTAAGAACACAAGAAGATGGCAATAATGGTATCCTTTTCTTACATTTAAAAAAATGTACAAGGGACAGCTAGGTGATGCAGTGGATAGAGCGCTGGCCCTGGAGTCAGGAGGACCCGAGTTCAAATTCAACCCCAGACACATAATACTTCCTAGCTGTGTGACTGTGGGCAAGTCACTTAACCCCAACTGCCTCACTTAAAAAAAAAAGTATACACAAGGTAATAAAGTAGTCCATCAGAAAATTATACTGATTTTTATATCTAAAGTTGTTTATTTGACCTTTACCTCTAGCATTTTAAAATATTTTATATTCATCAAGTTGACTAAGTTTCTATTAGTCCCTTTGAACTTCCTTCTTGACTATGTAAAGAGTAAATTTTGTTTTTGTTTTTGTTTTTTCACTAGGCAATGGGGATAAGTAAGTGACTTGCCCAGGGTCACACAGCTAGTTAAGTGTCAGGTGTCTGAGGTCGCATTTGAACTTGGT